AAACATGGCATTAGGATTTGAGGAAGACTCATTAACAACCTGAGATATGCAAATGGTACAACCTTGCTTGCTGAAAGTGAAGAAGACTTAAAATATTTACTAATGAAGATCAAAGAGCACAACCTTTGGTATGGATTGCATCTCACTGTAAAGAAAACAAAAATCCTCACCACTGGACCAATAAACAGCATTCTTATCAATGGAGAAAAGATTGAAGTTGTCAAGGACTTCATTCTTCTTGGATTAACTATCAACACTCATGGAAGCAGTAGTCAAGAAATCAGACGACATATTGCATTAGGCAAAGATGTCAGCTTGAGGACTAAGGTGCGCCTGACCCAAGTTATGGTGTTTTCAATAATCTCATATGCATGTGAAAGTTGGACAGTGAATAAGGTAGACCGTAGAAAAATTGATACTTTTGAGTTAATGGTGTTGGAGGAGAATATTGAAAGTGCCATGGGCTGCCAAAAGAACCAACAGATCTGTGTTGGAAGAAGTGCAACCAGAGTGCTCCTTGGAGGTCAGGATGGCCAAACAATATGTCCATACTTTGGACATATTTTCAGGAGGGACCAGTTACTGGAGAAGGATATCATGTTTGGTAAGGTGGAGGGTCAGAGAAAAAGAGGAAGACCCCAGTGAGATGGATTGGCAAAATGGCAGCATTAATGGGCTCAAGTGTGACAACAGTTGTGAGGTTGGCCCATGACTGGGCAGTGTTTTGTTCTATTGTACATAGGGTCTCTATGAGTTGGTACTGACGTGATGGCACCTAAGAACAGCACCATTCCCTTGGGCAGATGTGTTGTAATTCATTTAACTATTTCCCTATCAATAAACATTTAGATTGTTGGTAAGTGCTATCAAGTTGGTTCCGACTCAGAGTGACCTTGTATAGCGTTGCTGAGGAGCCACTAATGAGCTTGAACCGCCAACCTTTTGGTTCAAATCAACGTTATGGTCCAGTGCTTATTCATTCAACACATTTCTTGACTGCCATATGCCAGGCAGTGTTAGTTATATACCAGAGAACAAAACAGAACAAAATTCCTGCTCTCATGTAGTTTTACTTTTTTGGAAGTGCTGTCAAGTTGTTTCCAAACCGTAGTGACCCTCTATAGGGTTTCCGAGGAGTGACTGGTGAGCTTGAACTTCTGACCTTGTACCTCAAACCTGCTTTTCAGTCCAGTGCATTAACCCACAGCACCACATCAGGACTCTTAGACAATAAATGCATTTTTTTAAAAAAGGTCTGATGGTGTTAAATGCTATTGAGGACTGTAAGGTTGGGAAAGAGATAGGGAATATCAGAAATGAGGGGGGGCATGCAACTTCAAATTAAAAACACACTGACATCAGTTGATTCTGGCTGGTAGAGATCCTATAGGACAGAGTAGAACTGCTCCATAGGGTTCCAAGGCTGTATCCTTACTGGAGCAGACTGCTTGCTGCATCTTTCTGGTGAGTCTGAAATGCCAGGCGTGTGGTGGTTGAGGTTGTAAGTCAACTTATCTGGGCCATGATCTTCATTTGTTTGGCAGTTAAGTCATTCTGATGATGGGATCTGATATCATCCCATTATGAGAGATCAGACAAAATACCATCATCTCCATGATCAGATCTGCTACGACTAACCAATCAGTTGAAAGGGAGTTTCCTTGGGGGTGTGGCTTTTGACCAAGGTATATTGGCATGCAGACAAAGATTGCTTGTTTGTTTTTTAACTCTAGATCCTGTATGCAGTTCATCATCATCAGTTCTTGAGACCTGAGCCAGTAGTCTGCTGGTCTTGCCATCTTGCAGTTTTCAAGAGTCAAGAGAAGCCTCCATCCTGGCTTACGGACTTGGGACTTCTCAGTCTCTACAACCAAGTGAGCATTTCCTTGAGCTGAATTTCTCTATGTACGTATATATAAGCTCAGCTGGTTTTGTTCTCGAGATAACTCAGCTTAAGCAGAGCGTCATCAGTAGATTAGTATGAGTGACTCTTTTGAGGAGTTTCTTCTAGAATAGAGAGGCTTCAACTGGAGGGGACTATGAAAACAGGTTTCCTTTCTTTTCTTTTTTTGCATTGTTTTTTATCTTTGATGGAGAAATCACATGTTTCAGGCATAAGAGTAATGGTCAATTGTTGTTTAGTGCCATCAAGTCAATTCCCATTCATAGCCATCTTGTATAGGGTTTCCAAGGATTGATGACAAGGGAGAAATTCAGAGGAGAGTTTGACATGTCCATTTTAATAAAGCTTTGCATATATACAAGGTTATTTTTAGCTAGGTTCTTAAAAAGATTTTCTGAATCAAACAGTATGTGCATTTTAAAAGTCTGTAAAATGTTATATTCCACTATAAGTATATAAGGAGCTCTGGTAGCGTAGTGGTTACTAATCGGGCTGCGAACCTTAAGGTCAGCAGTTCGAAACTACCAGCTGTTCCACAAGAGAAAGATGAGGCTTTTTGCTCCCATAAAGATGTACAGCCTCGGAAACCCTGTACAGGGTCGCTATGAGTCGGAACCGACTCCACAGCACATAAGCATCACCACCATAAGTCTATGCCCTTGCTAACATTGGCCAGTCCTAATCTTTAAAATTACTGCCAATTTGATGGGTGCATCTTCATTATTTTAATTTTCTTTATTGCTTTGTAGGAACCCTTTATATAATCTATCTAATCCTTTGTTATGTTTGGAAAATATTTTCTACCAAGCCTTTTAACTTTGTTTATAGTTTCCTTTTACTATAGGGAAATTAAAAAAATTTTTGCATAGTTAAATCTGTCAGCCATTTCCTTTTATGGCATTTGGGTTTCATTTAGATCATATAAATATTTTACATAATCTTTTAATCATTTATATATTGAAATTTTAATTTTCTTGGAGCTATTTTTGTATATGTAGTAAAATATTTACATTTTCAAACAGTTAAATACCACAGGAACGATCTTGTCTTCAAGGTGGGAAGAAATGACCTTTAAAATCTTTTAGACCTGGAGCCTGTCTGGAGGAGAGATATTCTAATGACACCTCTTCCCTCCCTTGCTGTGGTTAATGATTTATTTGGCTTATCAACTTCTTTTTAGGTCAGTTTTGGTAATTGTACATCATTCTTTTCATCCAGATTTTCAAGTATTTTGGTTTAAAATTCTCCATGAAGAGAGGAGATACTCAGTCTTTATATTTGAGTATATCCTCTGTACTTACATGTTTATCCCAGCAGCAGATGCTGGCCCTCATTGACTTTAGTTTTCAGTCCTCATGCTCCAGCTCTTACTGCCCTTGATATTGGTTATTCCTAGATCCTCCTGAGAAGACTGATTTCTTTTTCTTTTTCTTTTGTTTTTAGGGGATTGTAGGCTCCTTGGCTCTGTTTTCTGTCACTCTGATCTTTTTTGCTCTTTAACTCACAGAGAATGTAAAAGTGCAGGTCTGTTGATGAGTATTTGTCCTTCTCAGTTTCTGACATTACTATATATTTTAATAGTTCTTCTGTCATTTTGGAAGAATGTGAGATAACTGCGTGTGTTCAGTTAGCTATTGAGAACAGAAAGTCCACATTCTTTCCTGTGTGGTTTTCCTGAGCTGAGTCCCATGTTTAAAAGCTGGCTGCATAGCAGTTGGATAGTAAGTGACTTTTTACAGTTCAAGTAATGATAGTTAGATGGACTTCGCTACTGGACTTCTTTTGTTATGGAAATGAAACCAAATGTCTCAGTGGTATATTGTGACTAAATAATCAAATAGTGCTTTTAAAACTTAAATGATAAAGCTTCAGCATTTAAATTTAATGGACTTTACAGATCATTAGACCAACTGCCATACCTCATGGGTGAGGAATTTGAAGCCCATAGAGATTTCCTGATTTATCTAAGGTAGTCAAGCAAGGTTGAAAACTCAGATCTCTTTGCTTCCATTTTGCCATGCTATTTGCTGTTATTCATATCCTCACTGTGCTTAGCTTTATAAGAAAGACATATTTCAGCTAATAATAATACTAATAAATAATAATAATAAAGATGGTATGTATGGCTTAGAATTGCCTCTGAATTTTGATCTTGGATACTTTATTAAATACATTGACTTGGATTTTGACTTTTCTTCTGAGTATTATGACATAAATGTGAATTTATAAGAATGAACTGTCAGAGTATGCTCTACCCTAAAATAAACCCATATAATCTATTTCTCCCAAGTTTCTTCTTTTCTCCTTATAGACTTTATGTGATTTATATACTTTCTGAATTTATTATTAATATTTTAAAGATGGTTAAGGAATAGACATATAAACATATAGACTTGAATGATGATTCTAGTGATAAATAATCATGGAATATTTCACAGCAAAGATTTCTAATTTCAGAGTTTAACATGGTGGTGATGGTGTGCCGTGGAGTCGGTTCCGACTCAGCCACCCTGCATAGGGTTTCTGAGGCTGTAAATCTTTATGGGAGCAGAAAGCCTCATCTTTCTCCTGTGGAATGGCTGGTAGTTTTGAACTGCTGACCTTGATGTTAGCAGCTCAACTTGTAACCACTATACTACCAGAGGTCTGTTAGTTTAACATAGCACATCCTTATGTTAACACCTAATTTAAAATGACTGAAATATAATAAGTCTTTTAAAAAGAGGTTTGTTTATCATTTCTTCAGTAAGCATTGGAGGATGTACTGTCTAGCATCCATTGTTGTTCTTGGTCTTCAGTTTTGAAAATGTTACGTTTGATTATTGATATCCTCTGTCTTCTGTGCTTTAAAAGTGCTCAGGGTTTAATATGTGTTGCATGAGTGGACTTGTGGAGGTGCTTTTGTTTTCTTTTCCCAGGGAACTTAAGAAGAGGGGAAGTTTCAATGTAGTTTCTCCAGAAGGTTTTATTTTCTTTAAGTTTTTACCTTTTGAAATTCATGAAATGACCTCCTGAGATTTTTTTTTTGGTAAATCAAACAGCAATCTCTTTAATATTAATTGTAGGATTTCATTGCCCACCCCCTCCTCCAGTTGCTCATAATGGCAAGTGAAGAGATTAATGAAGACTATCCAGTCGAAATTCATGAGTATTTATCAACATTTGAAAATTCCATTGGTGCTGTGGATGAGATGCTGAAGACCATGATGTCTGTTTCTAGAAATGAGTTGCTGCAGAAGGTATTTTAAAAATGGAATTCCTAAAAGTGGACTTAGTAAAACAGTGGTCAAGATGAAATACACACAGCATATCATGAACGTCATTTTAAGTCTATAATATAAGCATACCTTTACATCATTTCCATTTAAAAAGATGCTTAATGTATCTTGGTGCCAGTATATCACATTCTGTTCAATGATTTCTCTAGTAATGGACGTTTAGGTTATTCTGGTGGTTTTGCTACCATAAATGATGCAATAAATGCACTTAGACATTTTAATTTTTTTTTATTTTTGCGCTGGCACTTTTATTGATGTCAGCACATTCACAGAGAGGGATTCCTGGATCAAATGGTATATGTCCTTTACATTTTAATAAATTCTGCCTTGTTACTTTCCAAAAAGGTTGAGATGATTATTATAGTCCTCCCAGAAGTTTCTAGAATGACTCTTTCCCCAAACACTCACCAGCACTGAATGTTACTACGAATGATTCTTTTTCAGTATACTATGCAGTCCTAAGGTGTGTACTGTGCAGTGTGTTGGTTCCATACGATAAGCACTGGACTGCAGACTACAACTTGTGGTCCACAGTCCAAGTCCACTAGCCACACCATGGGAGAAAGATGAGGCTTTCTGCTCCTGGTAATATTTAAAGGCTTGGAAATGTTACGAGTCGGAACTGACTCAGTGGCACTTAGCAACAACAAATGCAGTACTGAGAGGGATGGGTATTAGATAAACCATATTTTTACAGTTCTTTGCTTATCTGGACTTTATCTGATAGGCTAGTTCATACCATTTCTGTTTGTGCATATGTGTGTATAAGTGATTAACATTATATATAGCTATGTTTATAAGGGCTCCACTCTACAAGGCATTTTACATGCAGTATCTCATTCAATTTTCAAAATGACCCAGTGAGTTCTTACACCCATACTATAGATGAGTAAATGGAGTCTCAGAGAGCTAGTAACTCACATAGCTAGTGTGTGACAGATCTAGCGCTCAAACTCAGGTCTTCATGTCTTGAGAAGGTCCATGCTTTTGACAGTTACGTTATACAACCTTCTCAGGTAGATTGAGTAATGCTTACCCAGGGGGAAGCATGCTCTAGGAGTGGCGGTGCTTAGAGATGCTATGTCTAGTAACAATTTGGCTGTTTGGGGCAATGTAGAAATTGTTTATGCCTTGTCAAGAATAAAGCATTTGTCAAATGCCTTTTGAGTACCAGGCACCGTGTTGAATACCATTAGGACTTTATGGAAGACACAGTTGGGCACTTCAGTTTTTGAAACCTTTACATATAGTCTTCCCTTCTGAAGCACTGCCTATACTAAACTCCAGAATTATCAGCCAGACTAGATTTTATTGCTTAGTGTTAATTGAAACCATTAATTTCCCATCATTCCTGTGTCTTCATCCAATTAAAATGTGTTTTAATCGTAAAAAAAACACCCCAAAAACAAAATGGTTTAAGTCCTGAAAGCAATGAGAAACATTTCAAATATTTCATTCCTAAGTTGAAGTTGTTAAATAAATTTAAGGCAGATCGATTTGAATGTCCAGGCATTTGTATAAAGACTTTACTTTTGTTTCTTTTGCTGTGATTCTCCAGTTTAATCTCATGTGTGATAAACAATATGTACATGAGATTTAGATCATTAAAGAATCTTCAGGTTTCCAAAAAAAAAAAATACAGTAGTGATACTTTCTCCCTTTATCCAAACTCTATATTTGAGTGTTTCTAGGGAGTAACGAAACAAAACTCCAGCCTTAGATACGCTTCCTAATCTATAATCTGTAACTATTTTTATTTTGACTTGATTTTTTTAAAAAAAAGAGTACTCACAGCATTTTTTTGACAGACTTTATCTTTGACCCTGCAAGTATTACAGTGATGTTATCAGGGTTTCTGGAAATGCTATAGAACAAAAACAGTAAATTGATTGTGACAGTTTAAAATAAATCTCATTATGTTTCTTCTGTCTTTGGTATTGCCTAAGCATTTAGCTTGCTTCTTATACATAAATGTATCATGTACAATGTTTATATTGAGACATGACTTTTGACACAGGAAGCCCAGATCATAACTCCCCAAATTAAAATAATTGAAAAGAATTCTTTTTTGCATTACACACATTTCTTGGTCTAACTAAAGATAGTACTCTGAAGTACAAAATATGAGGGCAGAACTCACTGACTAACAAAATTCTTTTTGCAAATTATTTCTAGATCATTTAGTTCCTGGATTATAGGAAGTAGGAAAAATGTGAAATCTTTGATACATTGTGCTTGGTAAAAGTTTAAATTGTTATTAATGGAACACAAAGTTTGTATTTCTCTTCTTCTTTTTTTGTTTTTTTAACAGTTGGACCCACTTGAACAAGCAAAAGTGGATTTAGTTTCTGCTTATACATTAAATTCAATGTTTTGGGGTAAGTGTTATTTTGGAGTCAATTAGAAAATAGATTATTTATTATGCCAATGTGATTTTCTTTAATGTTTGCTGTTTGTTTATAAGTATACTTTATGGCAATTTTAATAGGTATTTATTTCTTTTAAATAAGAATGCCAGATGCCCATGAGCCACACATAAATTTCCATGTGGATTGAATAATTTAAGATTTAATTAATCTTTTGTTTGGTTTTCCTTTTTTTGTGATTAGCTACAGTTTCTTTGATTGTATTGCTTTTAATGAATATATATATACCATTTCCTCTTATAGTTTATTTGGCCACTCAGGGAGTTAATCCTAAGGAACATCCAGTAAAGCAGGAATTGGTAAGATATTGCTTAATTATTTTCTTTTTATTTTGTATGTCTGTTTGTTGTACATGGGATGCTATCTACTGGTAGATAGTACCTTGGTTACGCTAATTTTGTAAAACATTGATTTAGCATTGACATTTTGAAAGTGGGCCACATCTCATTTGGCTTTGGTTTTTCTTTCTCTTACCTTTGTCAGAGGATTGGTGTTCCATATATTATATAAATCTTTAGATGGGACAGTGTTATGATTCTAGTAATTATTTATAACTTCCATATTATTTTTCCTATAAATTCTTAAAATCCTCATCTCCAGTACTGCTGTTTTTTTTTTTTTTTTACACTCTTACACAATTCTTAAAAGTATATTCTAGTTGATTTACTAGCAAAGACGGGAAAAGTTTCTCCCCCATCTTTTCAATTCCTCCATTAATTCATTTTCTCAGCAGTAAAGCATCCAGTTCAGCAACAAAGCTAAAAGCTTTTTTGGCACCAGTTGTATGTGTACTGTCCAGTAATTCTGCATTAGTGACATATTTACAACCTGTAATAAATCTTTTAGGGTTGTCTTTGTATTCCATTTAGATGTATAAGTATAGTATATAAGGTCTGGTATCTTGGAGTTTCTGCTGACTTCAGGAATTAAATCAAATCATTCAATTTCAAGGAAAAAATTAGAAATGAAACTTATAGTTACCTTCTTGACTTGGCTTTATGAACAAGAATATTATTAATAAATCCACGCTTTGTATATTGAAGAGATAAGGCAAATATATATGTGAAATATGCTTGACATTGTATGCTGTTCTTGTTCTCAAGTCTTAGGTTAGTTGATATTTGTGTTATTTATAACTTGGTCATTTATTTTGGAAAAAAACATGAGTAAACCAGATGGATTGTCTTTAGTTTTTAGTGCACAGACTAAAGAAATTTTCATTTTTTTTTTAAAAAGTCCTTGGCTAGAGCATGGAGAATGCAAACATTAGCACTTATGGAAAATATTTAAAGCAAAAGTATAAATAAAAAGCAATATCATATGTAGATCTTGGTTTGACCAAGGATACTGACTTTAAACTGTAAGATGCATGGGTTCTGTCATGTTTTAAACTCGGTGATACTGATACATTTCCTTGTTTTTCCCTTTGACACAAAGTTATCTGGAATATTTTGATACTTGAATTGTCCGTGGAAGAGGGTCATATCATCAGTTTTCTCTCCCATCAGAGCTGATTCTGTGGAGGAGTATGTTCATTTCGGAACCAGGCTTGGCACACAGCCCTGTTATCCTTTTCTGACCATGGCACAGACATTGCTGTCTGATCACAGAGCTAATGTGAGAGGAAACTTGTTTGCTATGTATATCACAAATAGTCAAAGGACCATGAAAATAGTTTATTCATTCAACAAATATTTGAGTGCTTACTGCATGCCAGTCATTCTTTCCAAGAATAAAACTGGGATATGTCCATGCCCTTTTGGCAGTCACCAGATTATCTAGTGGAGGACATAAATAGTAGATATAATAAAACAGACAAATGAATGATAAATATATATGAGTAGATAGTATAGTAGAAAGCTCTACTAGGGGGCTTCAAACGTTTGTGGAAAAATGAAATGAAAAAAAAAAAGGATTTTTTTCTGTGAAGTTTTTAAAGTCACCTCTTCTTACATGCAATGGGCAAAAAAGAAACAGAATCGAGCAGACTAAGAGACTGGCAGTGCTTGAGGTTGGATTGCAATTTTAGATGGTAAAGGCAAGCTGCCATTGGAGCAGGACTTCTGGTGTTGCACTGTAGGATCAGTACTGGACTGCAAACTACAACAGTGGCAGTTCAAACCTGCCAGCTGCTCCTCAGAAACCTTATACAGGGTTGCTGTGAGTCGGAACCGACTTGATGGCACTTAACAACAACCACAGATCATTTGAGCAGAATGGAAGGAAGACAGGGATATTTGAGGGTGATTAACACAGGCAGAGAAAAAGCAAGCAGGGCAGAGACCCCAAGGTAGGGCTGGGCTGGGTATTTACTTCAGCTGGTGTTGTTGTTGTTGTTAAGTGCCATCAAGTCGGGCCCGACCCATAGCGACCCTGTACAGGGTTTCCGAGGGTGTAAATCTTTACGGGAGTAGAAAGCCTCATCTTTCTCCCGCTGGTATCCACCCTTAAAAGGATTTTGTGGCTTTTACTGTGAGCAAAATAGAAAGCCAGTAGGTTTCAAGCCAAGTTGTCAGTCTTTTACAGCTAAAAAAATGTTAAGGTTCTGCATTTTTCTCCGTATGTTTATATATACCTACTTTGATAATTACAATGAAATTTGCTGCTGCATTGTGATCAATCAGCTGCTCTGTCATCTGATGGCTGTCGTCAACTTTATTTCTCCAGTTGAAGGCTAGGATAGCCCTTTATTCTGATTAATGGCCTCAGAAGATTCAATGTGGTATGGCAACATACTTTAAGTATGTTTCTCACCTTGTAAAGTCAGATTAGAACTCTATGTTTTATTAGGAAATTTCATGTGCTTATCAATCAAAACTATAAAATAGAATAAAAGACCTTGTGTTTTCATACTGCCAATTGTAATTGTGACTCTAGAAGGTAGCATAAAGTAATAATACAAAAAAAAACCTAAAAACCAGTCAAGTACCTCCTCATCCATTTTCTGTTTAGAACAGTTACAGGATGTATGATGTATTTTGCAAATGTATCTGTTTCAGATACATAGAGCTCAGATTTTAGATGGTTGACTTCAGATAGCACACAGTCAATATGTGAACTTAGGTTAATGTTAGTTTATAAAAAATACGTGGCAACATATAAACAGTGTCATGGGTATCTGTATAGTAGTGTCTATAGCATAGTTACTCCTCATTGGAACCATTCAGAATACTTCTGAAATGCCTTTTAAATGCTTTTCTTTTCTCAGTCTGTGAACCTCAGGATGGCATGGAGCATGCTTGCACCGTTCACTTGCACTTATGAGCACTAAGCAGTTACTAGGCAATAAATGCTTGTACATGTCTGTTGAATGTAACCGAGGTAGAATACAATAAAATTTAGTGGTGGTGAACAGCTTAGTAAATCTATGTCCTTCCCCCCCCCCCCCCCAAATCTTTAAGGAAAGAATCAGAGAATACATGAATAAAGTCAAGGAAATAACAGACAAGAAGAAGGCTGGCAAGCTCGACAAAGGTGCTGCATCAAGATTTGTGAAAAATGCCCTTTGGGAACCCAAACCTAAAGATGCTTCCAAAGTTGCCAATAAAGGAAAAAGCAAAAGCTAACTTTGCTTTTGATGTACACATGTTCAAAAAGTACAGACTCGATGGTGACTGTGTGATACTGCATGGTTTAAATGTATTCCTTATTGAATTCATACATAAAGTTTGTACTGGAAATCTGTAATGTTAAAAACTGTATCTCCCCCACCCTCCCACCAGAAAGATCATGTTATCTTTATTGACTTTCAGAGAGCTATGACGTTTTTAACGTTTTAATATGGACTTTCATTTCCTCATGGGTTACTATTTTATAAGCAGCTGTGAAATGAAGGTAAATGTTTTTTGTAAACATTTGGATTATTTTCAGTGTACCTTATGAAATATGCTATTTTTACTCCAGGCAGTCCATTGATTATGAAGAAGTTCTGTTCCTAAGTCTGTCTTTAAGTCAAATTTATACGTAAGTTGAAACAGATATTCAATGGCAGTTGGTCAAATGATTGTTTTAGTATGTAGTGTACCATATGATTAAGAAAATGTAGTGACAATATAGTAATAATGTATTGATGCTTGTTTCAAAGTAGTGTTTGTTATCACCAACCATTGTGTCCACCGTGAATTTTTTAATATAATAGACTTGGTTGGGGGTTGTTTCCTAACTGTGGAGTTGCATGTAAGTCGAACATTTGTAACTTGGGAACTCCCCAAGTTGCTATATAATATTAAGAAAAAAAATAAATGGTGTAACTGTCCATTTTTTTCATGGTTACTTTTTCATGCTTTCGTGATTTTAGGAATTAATAAAAAAAAATATTTAAGGTGTGAAATGAAAACTTTAAGGTTGTAGTTTAAATTCTTGGCACTTTGCTTTTGTTTCATTTAAGACAAAATATATTTTTATTATTTTAGAGATGAAATGAGTTTAGTCAAAAGAGGCTATGTTGATGGCTAAGTTTTGATAGCATGGCTATAGTCGCTAAGTGTAGTTGAGTCGGTTTTGACTTGTGGCCACCCTGTTTAGAGCCTTCGTTGATTTAAATCTTTGTGGAAATAAAAAGCCTCATCTTTCTCCTGTGGAGGAGCTGGTGGCCTTGAACTGCTGCCCTTGTGGTTCGCCGTCCAGTGCTTAGCCTATGGAGGCTGTAAAAGGTGTATTGCTGACCTGTTAATTTTTCTCTTTTGACTAAACTTTTCCTCCAAATTGGGCAGATAGGTTTTAGAAATCACCCTGAATGGAGAAATCATGGGTTTTTATTCTTGATGCATGAAACTTCGGATATATGCCCAGGGTTCTCTCATTTTCTGTATGATTATGTTTGATTATGTAATAACACACACCTGAGTTTATTTGCCAACCGCTTTCCTCTTCACCCCCAAGGTATTTCGTTATTTTTTTTCACCTGTTGCTCTGAAAAATTAGCGTAGAGTGTTTATAAAAAAGTACCTCCCAGTGGGAGGGAGTGGTTGGCAAATAGACCTAGTAGTGGGGTTGTTTTTAGTCAAAGTATGGTACGTGTTTATAAGGCTATGTTGACTACATAAAAGGTTTTGGAACCATTTTTTATGCTGCATCATGCCAATCAAACAAGTAAGAATTCAAAGGAGATTACATTGTGTTTTTGTTTCGATTTATTTTTCTGGAATATTGGTTTCAGAGAATTTACCTGTCAAACTTTAAATTTTTTTCAAAGTCTAAGCCCATGAATTTTAATTATATGCCCGTAATGCTTTCTGCCTTTGAATCCACATCATGTGTATGAATGCCCAGTTCAGTAAAGAAGTTTAGTTTTTGAAAAAGGAGTTGTTAAAATTTTCTATGTGATTAATTCTCGATAAGTAACCTTGAATAAATGGGTTTCTTGATTTATGGTAGCAGATATTGGAAACGGTCTTAAAATGTAATGGGTTTTGTAAAGCATGTTGAACTCTTTTCATGACACATGAAGAGGAAGTCACGGATAGAGGCAGAAGGTCTCTCCTGGCTCTGATATCAGACAGTTGTTGAGGTGGAAGAACACTGATAGTAATTTCACTCCTCTTCCAGTGTCAGCCTTTCACAGCCTTTCTGGCTACTTACAGTCACTTCTTCCTGAGATAAATACGTGTCATCATTAAGATTGAGTACGGTAGTATGCATCTCTGTTTGTGCAGAGAAGCCGATAGTTTGCATTTCGGTGTATTTTCTCATTTCATAAGAGAAAAAAAGGTTAAAGGAAAAATGTCATAACATTGCTGAAAATCATTAGCCAAATGATTGATGTGTGAAAGACTCTATATTCTGTTAAATTGGAAATTAAGTAATTATTTCAGTGTTTATTATTAGAAATAAAAAATAATTTTCACGTATTGTTTTATTATGTATAATTTTAAATCCTTTGCAGAATTAGGAAGGTTAGTAGAAGTAGTACATTGGATTGTTTGTTTGCTGTTTATTTTTTCATTCCACAAATATTTACATCCCAAATTTACATTGCCAAGTACTATGTTAGACATTAGTTTTCCAAATAAGACAACTCAACTTTCAGTCTCCTTTTACAAAGTGTTAGGAAAAAAGGTAGTCTTTTCATTCAATCCACTTTTTCCAGACTTACTGGAAATTAATGACAAATTATGCTCATTAACCTTAGAACCATCAAAGGTGATGGGTTAATAGATAGTACAGTTATTGTTCACATGGTTTGTTCCAAATGGCAGTGTGCTTGAAGTTTAGATGTTAATTGCAACTTTATTCATCTCTTTGGGAATTAGCAAGATAGAGAGGTTGCAGCTATAGATATTTTTTAAGATTAGAATTATAGATTATTAAGCTAAAGCTGAATAATGAGATTTTGTCTTAATATTATTTTAACATAATTTTCTTCTTAGTTGCAGGATGGGAATTCATTTTAGTAAAGTAGGGTATGTTAAGAGAGAAAAAAAAAAGCTTGAATTATGGTTTACATTACTGGAATTAGGAAGTTGATTAGTTTTTAAGACACCCTACAGATTAAAAAAAAAAAAAGGCTCTCCTTAGCTATTAGAAGTGAATCGGTATTATTTCTAAAATAAGACCTTTAAATTGACTAGAAATGTAGGAAAGACTTCAAAAATGGACAATGGATTGAGTTTAGATATCCTGTTCTTAAGTAGGTCATTGGAGAAAAAGATGCTTCAGGAGCCAGTTCAATGATAATTTTAAGTCATAAATTATTAGAAATATTGGCTTTACAAAGTGACATTAACAGAGGAAGATTTGAACAGTATTTCTGAGCCGGGCCTCAGGCTCAGTTTGTTAGGTAAAGGGAAGCCGTGGAGTCTTGTTTTCCTCTTCATTATTCACACAGCAGTTAGTAAACAAGCTTAGCTAAATTCACTGCCTCTTGTACCTAGTGGCAGGGCGAACAGCCTAGTCTACGGAAAGAAATGTGGTGATTGGGGTGTACTTTCCTAATAAAAACAGTTACTTTAACCCTAGATCCTTGTCAAAAAGTCTCCCCACTTGGAAATGCAAACTGCATTTTGTTTCTTTTATGTATTAGCAGTTTATAGCTGCCATTAACAATCTTATTAGTGGGAGAAGGGTATAAGGACTTTATAATAGAACACTGCCGATCTCTCCTACTTGATCATCGTGTGTTTACAGGATTGCAAAAAAAAATGAATGTTTTTCATATCAGGGTGGATTTATTGTCCTTGACTTTTTGGAACACCCTCCCTGACTCCATGTGCCTTTTTAAAGTGCTTCTTTGTGGCAGAATTCTTAACATAGCCCAGAAGACTAGTACATTTATCCAGATAAATAGTTCTAGTGCTATCTATTGGCAATTGAAGTTAATTTTGTCCCCCGACTCTCCCCAAAAAAGGCTCAAGATTAAAAACCGACAAACAAAAAAAAACCTAGCTCTGTATTAGTCATCTGTTCATAAAGGGTTAGAAGAAAACTGGTTTTTACTTTTTTCCTCTCCTATAAACCTTGAAGTTTAACAAATGGATCGTGGCAGAATAACGGCAAGCTAGATAACAATTTTGCAAAGTGATCTATTTCAGATCGTATACAAAATTTGATAGTGAGAAAAATAAGCTTTATAAATGGAACATTTAAGAGACTGCTTTTTACTATTTGCTTTTTAGTGTTGCCTTCAAGGTGTACCATTTCAGTTTGGCAGCTACAATAAATGACTGGAGAAATTGAAGATGATAATTCAACATTTCAAGATGCTTCTGCTGAAATGAATGCAGACCTATCCAGGGTCTGAATTTAAAGTTTACAGTCAGATAGTATTTTAAAGACAAGTACCTAGGAAATTCATGGTGATAGGATTTGAATGAGCTGATTAGGAGAAATAGAAAAGAATGCCTTCATTTTCTTGTTATGTGGATATTATCTACTGAGAGGCTATGTTTAAAAATGTTATTGTAAAAAGAATAGAGGCTTGTACAAAATCTTCAGTGCTACAGTCATGGATTGTGCATAGACCATGTTATAATCATCTTGCAGGTATCATTTCATATGGTGATCCTTGGTCTCTAAGGAGCACTGGTGGAACTGTGGGTTAGGCCTTGGGCTGCTACCTGCAAAGTTGGCAGTTCGAGACCACCAGCTGCTCCTTAGAAGAAAGATGAGGCTGTCTGCGCTGGTAAAGATTCACAGTCTCAGAAACCCTACTTAGGGTTGGAGTCCTGGTGTGGCACAGTAGGATAAGCACTAGACTGCTAACCTAAAGGCCAGAGTTTTCAAACCCTCCAGGGTAGATAGAGTAGGAACCACCTGGACAGAGTCAGACTTGAGTTGATGGCAGTAGGTTTTGGTTTGATCTCCCTGATAACACCCTCTTTGACTTATTTAAACAGAAATCATTTGTTACCCATCTTATAAAAGTTGTATGCAATATGTGCTCTTGGATGAGCACATAACACTTTTTTAAAACATCCTGTATTGAATCCATCCGCTTTCATGGCTTGAATTGCATCCCCCTGAAACTATGTACCAACTTGGCTGGATCATGATGCTCTGGCTTGGCAATTATGCAATGATCCTTCCCCATGGTGTGATATGATGTGATAAACTACTCAATTGTAATGCAACACCCTTATTCTTT